GGCCTCGCTGCTACTGCAGCCATTGAATATGAACCTTGACAGTACACTCTCTGCAGAAACGTAAAAAATTAAAGCACATCTCTGTCCCCTGCCTCATAAACCCTCCAAGCTACTTCCGTGCCTGGTTTCTGTACCTCAGACCTTTTGTCAGCTCTGGATCCTGCCGCTGGTTCTGCATCTTTTCTCTCCCTGCTCATCCTCATTCACCTGAGTTCCCAATCACCCAAGTTCCCTGAACTCCCACCTTTCTTTTTTTCCCCCTCTTCTCTGCAGTCTGTTTTAAAGTTGAGTCTCAGCCATTTCAGATGCCCTGGTGTTGATATTTTCTTCGTAGAGGGCCAGTTGGAAGGGAGAGGTTGCACAGCCTTTAATCACAAGCTTTAGATCATGATGCTTGGGAACTTCTGAGGTTTGAAGTTGACTGAAGTTTTTTAACATTTGAAATGTCTAGTCATACCAAAATTCCATTCAAGTGTGTGTTTTTCTGAAATTCTACAGAACATTTATTTCCAGCAAATGCTTCTTACTTAGATGTGTTGTGAATTTTTTTGTTCTCCAGAATGACTGGAAACAAGGAAGTTCTGAGTTTTAAGTACATATTCTAACTAATAAAGTGGTAGTTATCACAGACATCATACTAAGGTACCATTATTAAATAATTGGGCTACATGAAATGCATTTAACTCTTGAATTATAGTTAATCTTTAGCAATTCTCAAGGTACCAAGGATCTCCTAGAATTTAGGGGCGAGCTATAGCATTATTTATTGCTTTGTTGAAAATGCACAAGAGCACTGCAGAAGCTGGTGAAAATCTCAGATGACAGAGAGATGGCTCTCCTGGGCGTTCTGGTTTATTGGGTTGTGTGGTCCTCCAGGGAGCTCTGCTTTAGCTTCCCAAGGCTGAGCAGTAGCACATTTGACAGTCTTTTGATTCAGTTCCAAGTCCTAAGCCTGAAAGGAAAATGGTTAAGCATTCATCAAAGAACAAGCATGTTTGCTGTTACCACACGTGAGAAATGTCTGCAAAAGAGAGAGCTGAAGTGTCCTCTGATGGTTGATTGGATAAACCTTCCTGGGAGCACAGTTGTGTCTTTGAGCTTCTGTAACAGTGATGAACAGTGACAGCTGGACCAGGTGCTTTGGGGGGAATGGGTGGGTCAATTATTCGTACACACCTGTCACTCACTTGAAGTTGATACGTTGGCATGAATTGATTAATTTTATGAGGAAAATACCTGATGATGTTTGTGCATCATTAAAAACATTTAGCCTTGATGGAAGAGTGTAAGATGCCTGATCCTTCTCTGCTTCCTGTCCTCTAAGTTTGTTTTTAAGGCGGGAGCCAAGGTGAAGATCATTATATGCATGTACAACTGGATGGAGGTTGTGTTTTCTTAAGATTAGCTTTTGAGAGAATTTCATTGATAAGGTTTTCAGTTCACCCCAACTCTTTTTTTTTAAATCAAAATGCTTTTATTTATTTATTTTTAACATTTTTTATTGATTTATAATCATTTTACACTGTTGTGTCAAATTCCAGTGTTCAGCACAATTTTTCAGTCATTCATGGACATATACACACTCATTGTCACATTTTTTTCCTCTGTGATTTATCATAACATTTTGTGTATATTTCCCTGTGCTATACAGTATAATCTTGTTTATCTATTCTACAATTACACCCCAACTCTTTATAAGGCCAAATGTTACATGTTCAGGGAGAAAAAAAAATGATTCAAACTCCAGTTGACAAAATTATTCAAGCCCCGAGCCTCAGTTTCTCTTATCTGTGAAATGGGGATGATAATAAGGATCACAAAGCATATGTACATCTGTGCCTGTATGTGGGTATAGTAGTTGCAACAGTGATGGAGGACATGGAAGATGCTTAATGAATGTTAGCTCTTAATTTGTTAAGGCAGCATCCACTATCAGTTACAGCTAAGTACATGACTTTCTTTCAAAGACAGGGAGGGGTAAAAGAGGGGTCAGACCTCAGAGAGGTTTCAAGGACAGTTTATCATTTGGTAACAGAGAGTGAGAGACTGTTCAGATACTGTAAGTTCACTTGTCCTACAAAGCAGAAAGAGCCCCCCCACCAACATTCTGTTCCCCCAATGATATCAGTGTAAATTAGGTTACATTGCCTTGGTTGTGTTTTTGAAATCTGGGCTGGGTTACTCATGTTTTTTAAAATCACTTCTTATTCTTACTCAATGTTAGCAGATAAATGTAATTTAGAAATACACTCAGGGTTCCACATCAGCTGTCAGGATCTCAGAAAGCTCCTAAAGTGGTTGGGGGCCCTTGAACTGGATTGCTTTTGGAAGCAGTAAATAAAAAAGTACGTTTGTCAGTGAAAGGTTCTATATCTCCCTATTGGTCCTCTGAGTTTTCATTCTTTGCAAGAAGGGGCCTTTGTATTCCTGCTATTTTTTTTTCAATACTTCCTTTTGCTTTTGATTCTTTTTTTTTTACAGCAATTTACAAGAGCAAATTCAATTTGTAATGCTGCAAAGGAAAGGGGTTTTACACTTTGCATGAATAAAACATAAAAGTGTTTCATTTTGCTTGGGAAAATGAGCCCATTTCGCATTCTCTTTTGTAACTTCCCTTGCTGAGAAAATGGAATCTCTTAGGGGATTTCTTGATGTGGTTAAAATGAATATGAAAAGTATGTATACCAGAGGCTTGAAGGGCGCAGTCTGTCTTGAAATTCAGAGTGCTTCACTGAGCCGTGTAATTTCAGAATTTATAAAGTTATTTCGGGTTTAGCATTTTCTTAAGGCTTTCAAGTGGATTTGCTTTGCTCTCAAGAAATTCCTTATGGAGTAAGTTTACTCTGAGAGGAGGCGATCCAGCTGGGGTGCCCCCTCCCCACGGCTCCCCCAGGTTGATTTGCAGAAACCTTTTATTATGAGTGGCTAAGGAGTCACCGTCACATCCGATGTTGGTTCTTTGTGGGGCGTTGGTGGTTGCAGGACTGGGCTGAAGTTTTTGTCTTGTTCTTTGGAGTAACGCCTGCCTTTTTTAGGGCGTTTCTTGGAGCCCATTTGCATTACTGCTGGGCAAAGGGAGGGCTACCTCCCTCTCTCTTGGCTATTCTGTACTTTGGCTCTTTTTGATCACAGTGAGATAAATGTCAAGGCTCCCAGAGATGGGGATTGGTGAAAGGGGTTTCATGAGCCTTGTATTTCCAATCCAGGGTGGCCTCAGGGAACACCCAGCTTGACCTGTTGTGCTTCTGTCCTCGTGTGTGAGGATGGCCTGAGTTACAGAGCTGGCGTTTGCCCCCAGGGACTGGGGCAAATGACCACATGCCACCTCTCACCTTGTCTCTAAGGAACTGCAGGCTGCCGCTCCAAGGATGGGGGACTTCAAGACAACTTCAGGGGCCCTGCCCATCCGGCCACAGCTCTCCTGTTTACTCATTCGACGCTGGGAAGCAGCACTGTCCTTATTCTTTTAAGGAGGTAGCAACAGCAAGCAGACACAACTTCTGAACAAAGGAGACTTTAAACAGACACTTTCCTTTTCTCTTGTGGCAGATATGGGAAGGGGCACACGGGTCCTTCTGTCCGTTGCCAGCAGGCACTACAGTCCGCTCATCCCACCTGTTTCCCAAGAGAAAGGAATGTGGGTGGATGGTATAGTCACAGGGTTTCAGACCTGCTAAGTGGCATTTTCCAGGTCAGCGTACCGTGGAGCGCTTATCAGGTCAGATGTTCATAGACTTTCCTTGAGCGAAAAAAAAAAGGGTTCTAGGGTCAGCTGGGAGAGTGGGTTAAACCCAGGGCAACAGGCCCCTCTGCTCTGGACCCTCCCGGAGCTTCTCCTGCGCTGATGTCCTTCTCCTCACGGAAATGCAGTCGCATGGAACACACTGTGGGAAATGGTGCTCTGGTCAGCAAACCCATTAAATTAGTGGCAATGCGAGGTTGCTGTTTTTGCCTTTAAATTGGAATTACTTTTAGTAAATAACCACTATAAGTGAAGCTGGCTTCTAATAAGGAAGATAAAACTCCTTCATAATTGGTAGCAGCCATCATAGCCACTGTGCTCCAGTGCTT